CTGCTGAACTGTGGACAGCCCTTCAAAGCAGCAGCACCCAAGAGTAAAGGGACTTTTCAGTAGTCCCTGAGGTGAAGGCTGCATGGCCTGGTAAAGTTTGTGCTCCTTTTCCACCTGGATTCAGGAAGCAACTGTTCATGTGCTGGTGAAGAAGACCTTGCTTAAGGTTTGCTTGGAAATCACCTCCTCTGAGGTGATCAGAAGGCTCATTTTTCTGTTGTTTTTGTTACTGATATTAAATGGGACTGGAGGAACATAAGCAGATGTTGAAAGCAATAACTGCATATCTGTGACAGCAGCTAGTGACTTACTGAGCCTCCTTTTATGCTTTTGAGGTTTTTCAAAACAGTAGAGACACTTTTTAAGAGGCAAGGTTGGTAATGAAAGGAAGCGTGGGTCTAAGAAAACAGCATGTGGATGTTGCAAACAAACATAGCTGATCATGTTCTTAGTGACCCTTGGGTGCTGTATTTTTGCAGTAAATATTTGGAGACTGCTTGAAGGTAAATTGGAGACCCTGGCCAAGAAATTTGGGGTTACCTTGGCTCTACTTGCAATGCAGTATTGGATAATTTAGTTTCTAATAATCCTTAGGCATTGCAGAGATGACGGGACAATTTAGTCAGTAACCTGCTTTGTTTCATTTGATCACATGTAAAGCTTTGTTCCTTTAAGGAAAAAAAAAAATCAACCTTTTTTTTTGTTTCTGATCCTGCTTTTTAAATCTTACTTACACTCACTTGGCATCATCTGCGTTTTGCACTGCTGTTAATTTCTTACTGCACATTTGCAATCTTCCATAAAGCCTGAAAGATGACTTGCTTGTGTCTGTGGGACGTGCATACTTTCATGCTTGTGCTCCTTCAGGGCAGTGCTGTGGGCTCTAAGCTGCATTTCTGACTTTGCTCCTCTCCCCCTTTGTTGTCCATCACAGAACTGAAGGAGTGAGAGGGAGCAGTGAGAACTTGGAACAGGCTGCCCAGGGAGGTGGTGGAGGCACCATCCCTGTAGGTGTTCAAAAAACAGATGGATGTAGTGTTTTGGGAGATAGTTTAGTGGTTAGGTGTTGTAGGATGGACAGTTGGGCTTGATGATCTTAGAGGTCTTTTCCAACCTTGATGATTCTGTGATTCTTCCCCATAGAGGCTGGATTGCTGCTGGTGTCTGAGGTGTGGGAGGTGGTAAAAAGAGGGTACATCATGGGAGGGGTGGCTGCAGTGCCCAGCTGGACCTGAGTCACCTATAAAAGCCTTCACTGTAGTGATCAGAACATCAGATCACATGTTGATTGCCTCAGGGTGTACAGGGCAAATGGCTTAACTTACTGACAGGTCATGAAGACAGTGCTTAGGAGAGGGCTTCCAATGGTGCTTCTACCATACCTTTTGCTAGAGGAGGAGAACTCAGGGCAAGGGAGAAGAGAGACAAAAAAACACTTTGGAGTGGGAGAGTACTCCACTTTGCAGCAGGGGCTGGTACCTCTGTGGCTTTTCCACAGCAGGGGTTATCACTTGGGTGCAGCACACTTGAGTAACATAGGCTCTGCTAGAGCCCATGGACCCCCTGTTTGGGTTAAAGCAGCAGCAATTGCTCTGGGCCAGCTGGCCTGTTTGGGAATTGTCAATGCCTGCAGTCACCTTCTGGTCTGTGCCTTATACCAAATTTAGGAGCTCACCTGTTGGTGAGCTTCTTGTCCTTTTATCAATGACCCATGTTGGAATGTCAAGGGCTTAGATCCCTATCCATTCCTCTTGCTTTTGGTAACTGTTTATTTTCCTCACTGGAGAGTTGCTCTTCCAAGCAGTGTTCGTGCTTTGGGTATTTCAGGTGTTCCCAGATTCCATCAAGCCAAACTCCTTGAGTGTGTCCAGAGGAGGCCATGAAGATGATCAGAGGGCTGGAGCACCTCCCTATGAAGACCGGCTGAGGAAGCTGGGGTTGTTCAGCCTAGAGAACAGGAGGCTCCATGGTGACCTTATAGCAACTTTCCAATAGCTGAAAGGGCCTACAGAAAAGCCGGGGTAGGGTTTTTTACATGGGTATGTAGTGAGAAGACAAGAGGCAGTGGTTTGAAAGTTAAAGAGGGGAGATTTAGGTTCGACATTAGGAAAAAGTTCTTTCCTGTGAGGGTAGTGAGATGCTGGAACAGGTTGCCCAGGGAGGTTGTGGCTGCCCCCTCCCTGGAAGTCTTCAAGGCCAAGTCGGATGGAGCGTTAACCAACCTGGTCTAGTGGAAGGTGTCCCTGCTCATGTATGGAGGTTGGAACTAGATGGTCTTTAAGGTCCTTTCCAACCCAAACCAGTCTGGGATTCTATGAACTTCAGATGAAGAACAAGCAGGTTCCAGGAGCCTCAGGATCCCTGGTGCCTGCAACCATACAACCCTTTCTGCATGTCTTGCCTGTTTGCATTTTGGTGTCTTTCATGCTGTTGTGGTACAACTCTAGCAATCCCCATCCTCTTTTCAATCCCATCTCTGTGCAAGGAATTTCCATTTTGTCTGAGTTGTTTTCTTTTCCCCCTGTGCTTTTGTTTCACCAAGTCATCTTACTTTGTTCAACTAGAGTTATACCTGAGCTTTGCTGCTTTCTGTGTTGGGTCAGCGGGGGATGGAAGATGTTTTTCTTGACTATTAACTGTTGCTTCCTGGGTCTAAACATCTTTTTCTTTACTGTAGTTGCTAAACAAACCGGAAAACTGCTGTGGACTTAAGGAAAGTCAAATACTTTCTCTGCTTAGTGACATTGGTATGTAGTTTAATACCTTTATTTTGTTTTGGGGCTTTTTTTGTTGATTAGTTTTTGGGGTTTTTAATGCCATTTGTGTTTTCGTTTCGTGGGGTGTTTTTTTTAATTATGTGTAATGGCATTTTGCTTTTTCAGCTGATCCTGAAAAGGGGACTAAGGAGAACAGGGTGTTAAAACAAATCAGATTTCTGTTTCAAAGGAAGGACTTTGTATCCCTGCTTATTCCACAGACAAGGAGTTTGCACAGATGATATATGTGTCTGTGGAATGGGATTGGAGAAGATCTGTAGTGGTCAGTTGGAAGTAACTATGACCTGAACATTTTGGGTTTTAATGTCACAGTTTTCCATTCAAACCCCCCCATGCCCAGTGGAATGTCACTTGAAAGAATGTGACTTTTACAAGGCAAAAAGCAAGTACCAACATGAGAAGTGCAAAAGCTGCCCTATGGCTACTTTGTGTTGGATTTGCTTAGTAGGAGGGAAATTTTATTTAGGGTGGCAGTAGGGAGATGATAAACTGGAATGGAGCTGAGAGCAAGGTAGCTAAGAGCATAGCAGAACAGGAAGCCACCCATGCCATGGCAACTCCAGCCATCTTCTGCCTAATGATTTGCGCTCAACTGTAGGTTAATTAGGTAGGTGATCCCAAGAAAAGTGTGTCTAACTATTGAGAAGCTTCTTGTTTTTGAAGAGCAGTTCTCTTGGTCTGCATCAGGGTTGTGGCTAACACACACGTCGGCTGCAGTCAGCACTGTGGATCTGGATATAGTTGTTCACATCCGGCCCCCTGTCTCAGAGGGACATGGAGATCCTGGCAAGGCCATACAAAGAGTGCCCAGGGCTTGAAGTACCTGAGCCACCAGGAGATGGGCCTGTTGTGTGTGATCACAGGGAGGCTGAGGAGGGTCTGTGGTGACAGAAGGGACAGGTGCAAAGCTGATGGATGGGACCAGACTACACTTGGTGAGCAGCATCACAGAGGGCACGAGCTCCATGCTACACCATGGGAGGTTGAAGTGCATGGTTGGAGAAGAAACCTTTCCTACCAGCACTGCTGTTGTGCTGTGCATGGTCCTGGGGAGGGTCCCAAGGCAGCCCACAGGGTGGCAAAGTGGTGAAAAGGTGAGGATTATCTAGCCATCAATTTGATCTGCATGGCAGAAAGTGTCTGCTACCACGTGGACTCCAGATTCTACAGTTGGGAAAGGGAGCAGGCAGCAAATTTGCACAGGATGGGAGCAGCCCAAGATGACAGCACTGCTCAGAGGAAGCAATTTCATTCAATGCCTTTGAGTGCCTGCTTTAAAGTCCGTTCCCAAGGCTGCAATAATCCGTGGAAATCATTCTCTGACACAAACTTGATGGGGTGCAGAAGTGAAATACCTCATTTTTCAAGCTGCTGAGCTGTAGCTTGTCTGATGCCAAATCCTTGACCATTGGGAGCACTGTAAGAAAACAGAAGATGTGGGACTTCAAACTGGCCTTTCTGTCTGTCAAGAAGTGCCTGGCTTCTTGGACACCCTGGGGTTGACAACTAATCTGATTGAGGGTGTTGCCTACAGGTGGTTTCTCTAGCAAGTAGGCTTTCCAGCAGAGTTTCTCAGTAAAGCTCCTTGTTTTCTTAATTCCCCCACGATGGAACAAGACCTGCCTTGGGCCTTACATGATGGGACCTTTCCTTTGATTTCCACTTGCACATCTCCAAGATTGAAAAATCATGTTCTGTGGCAGACACTTGCCTGCTAAGCTTTTATTTAGCAGCCAGTGTTGTTATTTGGGTGGACCAGTAGTGAATTTTCCCCTTCCCACATCCAGAATTTATCTTGTTTCTCTTTTATTAGTGTCTCCACGGTCCCACTGAGGCAGTTCAAGTGTGTTCTGTTGCCACAAGGCAGAGTCCTTCTCTCTGCCTGTCGTTCCTTCCCCTCTTGCAGCCACTCCAGTGCCCAGGTGAGGAGCAGGTTCTGGAACCTAGGCTGGCTAATATCATTTTGTTTTCTTGGTACTTTCCAGCTGGCTCAGTCCGAGGACCAAGCTGACCATAAATGCTTGTGTTGCCATGGAAATGGCATCTGGGAAAGGAGAATGTGGGTACCTGTATTCCTTCTGGGCACAACCCTCTCATAGACTGTTTGGCACTAGCTTTAGATCAAAGGGAAACTCAACTGATTTTTCATTTGCTTAATTTCAGCATTTTCTTTCATTAGCATCTTGTATAATGTGCTTACATATATAAAGGTGTCTTTTTGTTAACATCCCAAGATCCTAGGCCAGAGGACATGCAGAGCTGTTTGAAGCTGCCTGCACATTTTGGAGACCTGTTTTCTTTATCTGCCTGCTGGCGTTCGTATTGTTGCTCTGCAGTTTGAGAAGAATTGAGCTGCCTTGCAGATGTGACTCGTGGTTAGCACCATGAGGTTTGAGCTCCACAGGAACATCCATTTCCGCAGAGGAACAGAACTAGTTCAGGCTTGGCAGAAATATGGTGAATCTTTCAAGTCAATGAAAGCTCTTAGTGGTGCTTTAAAATGAAAATGTATTGATATCAACCCCATATTAGATTTTTATCAGACACATCTGATGGTGATGTGAGTTTATTTTCTACTAAATCAAACGTGTCTTTCAGGGTCTGGGATCCAGTATTTGCATGAAAACAGAATTATACACAGAGATTTAAAGCCTGAAAACATTGTTCTTCAGGATGAAGGTGGGAAGGTAAGTCAGGTGGCCTCTGTTAAGTGGTGTTCCCACTGTCATTTCTGGAGGTTGGTATTGAAGTTCCCAGATAAAAAGCTAGATAAAGTCAAGTTGAAATAGCTGGACAGCAAGGAGGTTCCTGGAATGTGTGGATGATTACTTCTTTTTCCAAGTGATAGAGAAGCCAACAAGGAATGGTGCCATGTTGCACTTTGTTCTCACCAAAAAGGAGGCATGGGTAGGGAATGTGAGGCTGTAGGGCAGCGTTGGCTGCAGTGACCATGAGATGGAGTTCAAGATTTGTAGGACAGCAAGGAGGGTGCACAGCAAGCTCACTACCATGGACTTCAAGAGAGCAAACTTTGACCTCTTCAGGGGCCTGCTCGGTAGGGTACCATAGGATAAAGCCTTGGAGGGAAGAGGGGCCCGGGAATGCTGGTTAATATTCAAGGAGCACCACCTCCAAGCCCAGGAGCAATGCATCCCAACAAAGAGGAAGTCAGATAGATGTAGACGAAATACAAGGAAGAAATTCTTTGCTGTGACGGTGGTGAGACACTAGAACAGGTTGCCCAGGGAAGCTGTGGCTGCCTCATCCCTGGAAGTGTTCAAGGGCAGGTTGGATGGGGCTTGGAGCAACCTGGTCAGGTGGGAGGGGGGTTGGACTAGATGACCTTTAAAGTCCAACCCAAACCAGTCTGTGCTTGATAACAAGGTCAGCTTCTGTGTTGAAACAGCAAGCCTTTACACTGTGTCACATCTTCAAGCTTTGCCATTGACTGTCTCCAGAATTTCCGTTCTGGTTTTCTGTGGATGTCCCTGCCTAGATTTGGGGTTGTTTCGTGGGTTTTTTCCTCTGAATTTGCTTTTCTCATGAGTTATTTAAACTGCCTATAGATTGTTCACAAAATAATAGACCTGGGATATGCAAAGGATCTGGATCAAGGAAGTTTATGCACTTCATTTGTTGGAACTTTACAGTATTTGGTAAGAAATTATTATTTTTCATGTATACAAGCGATGGTACATTACCAGATTTTATAGAGTCACAGAAGGGTGTGTCAGAAGGAGCCTACCAAGGTCCTTTGTCCAGCCTCCCACTGACAGCTGTCACCAGCTATAGGTCAGGACTGCTGTCGCTTGGCCCAGCCAAGCTCTGAAACCTCCAGGAATGGAGTCCCACACCTTCCTGGGGACCTTGACCACATGTGATCCCTCCCCAGGGGAAGGAATGTTTCCTCATGCCCAGCCTGAACCTCCCAGAGGATAGTCTGGGGCAGTTGCCCCTCATTGAATCACCTTCCAAGATGAGTTTGGCCCCATCCATTCTTTCCTGTGACACAGTTGGGGGCTGCTCCTAGACACCCCTTCCAACCTCCTCACAGATGGACCCAACAAGCCCAGCTCACTCCCATCTCCTGGTGGGTTGGATGCTCCGGGCAGCCCAGGCAGAGCTGCATGCAGGTCCCTGTGCACTCTGGAACTGGGGACAGCTTTGTCTCTGCAGAAATACAAGAAAATAGACAACCTGAAATGCCACTTTTAACCTGTCTTTCTGTGATACTTTTTAGGCTCCAGAACTCTTTGAGAACAAATCCTACTCAGTTACTGTTGATTACTGGAGCTTTGGGACAATGGTGTTTGAGTGCATTGTAGGATTTAGACCTTTCCTACACAACCTACAGCCCTTCACCTGGTGAGACACTGACTCTACAAGGGGTGATGCCAGGCAGTGACACTTGCTGCCTGTGGTGAGGTGGCAATATGGACCAGAATGATGAATGTACCTGGGTCGGGGCAGTCCCAATCACAAATTCAGGCTGGGCAGAGAGTGGGTGGAGAGCAGTCCAGAGGAGAAGGATTTGGGGGTGTTGGGGGATGAGAAGCTCAACATGACCCAGCACCATGTGCTGGAGCCTGGAAACCACCTGTGTCCTGGCCTGCATCCTCAGCAGTATGACCAGTAGGGCCAGGGAGGGGATTGTCCCCTCTGCTCTGCTCTGGGGAGACCCCACCTGGGTGGGTGGGGGGCTGTGTCCAGCTCTGGAGCCCCCAACACAGGAAGGACATGAGGCAGTTTTAGCTAGTCCAGAGGAGGCCACAGAGATGATGGGAGGGCTGGAGCAGCTCTGCTCTGGGGACAGGCTGGGAGAGTTGGGGGTTTCATCCTGGAGAAGAGAAGGCTCCAGGGAGACCTTAGAGCACCTTCCAGTGCCTGAAGGGGCTCCAGGAAAGCTGGGGAGGGACTCTTGACAAGGGCCTGTGGTGAGAGCACAAGGTGTAATGGCTTAAAACTGGAAGTAGAGAGATTAAGGGTAGACATGAGGAAGAAATTCTTCACTGCAAAGGTGGTGAGACACTGGCCCAGGTTGCCGAGAGGAGCTGTGGTTGCCCCATCCCTGGAAGTGTTCAGGGGCAGGTTGGATGGGGCTTAGAACACAAAACTGTTTCCAGAGTCAGAGTTGATTGCAAGAGCTCCCCTCTTCCACTTGGAGATGTTCTGGGTGGATTGTTTGGAAATGTTGTCTTTGTCCTGAAAGAAGAGGTTCTTTTCCAAAGGTGCCACCCTGTGGCTCGTTTTGCTGCTGCCATATTCAGATGGCCCTTGACCAAGTTGATGCTGTCAGTCTATCCACAAAGGATATTATTTTCTAGGCATGAAAAAATCAAGAAAAAGGATCCCAAGCACATCTTTGCTTCTGAAGAGATGAACGGGGAGGTTCGCTTTAGTACCCATTTGCCACAGCCTCACAGCCTCTGTGGGTAAGTGTGTTCTTGGGGCGACATGGAGGGTTTTTCGACTTGTCTTTTACAATGAGGTCTCCTTCTCCTCTATCCCAACTGCTAAGATGTCCTCCGCCTTTCTCCCAAGGGGAGTTTCAAGCTCCTGGCAAGCTGATAAGGAATAGCCCATGGTCACATGGCTCTTTTTTGATACTTGAGGCTCTCCAGTGGCCGTTCCCCCTGCGGTTGGCAGGATGATGTTGGGTCATCTTGCAGTCTGAACTCTGTGGCTGCTTCCCATCCATTATCACAAGGCTACTGAGTAACATCTACCCAAGAACTTGATGGTATTGAGTCTCATAAACCAACTACTAGAGTTAGCTGCTCCACAAAAGCAGAAGCTTCTAGTTTTTGTGTTGGGAAATCAGCAGCAGAGGCCACAAAGATGGTCAGAACCTCTTGAACAGAGCATACAAAGAGAGGCCCAGACAGCTGAGCTTGGTCAGTCTGGAATAAAGAAGGTGTTAATTTTGTCTCCTGTCTGTTGGGACATTCCAGAGAAAATTGATCTAGGCTCTTCTCAGATGGGCGAAGTGAAAGGATGAAAGACATAAGTTACAAGGAGGGAAATTTGGGCACAGGAAAAAAGATTTCCCAGTGCTCTTCATGCATCCCTGGGACGGGACCTGAACAGTGGTGACCTCCAACTGTGGGGACTGCCCAGACTCACTTGGACACAGTCCTGAGCAGTTCCTGTGACATTGGCCCTGCTGTGGGTCATAGTTCAACCAGAGACCTCCAGGAGAGCCTTCAACCTGAATTAACTGGCCCACACCACGTCAGAAGTCAGGCTCTGATAATTTGTCCCTCATTTAGTGATTGTGGCTTTAGGTGTGCCTAGCTGTGCAGCACAGCTCATTGGCACTAGCAGGTTGCTGGATTTGAGGATGAAGTAAAAATGGCTTTGTGGTTTTTGCACTCTGTACTGCCTTTAAAGATGTTCTTGACAATAAACTTATGTGTTGCTTGTGTGGATAAACATGTAGAAGAACCTTCCAGGTGGTTCTGGAGCATAGCCCTGGCTATTTTGCAGACCAGGCTTTGAAAACAGTTTATTTTGTGTGCATCATAGACAGGTTTGGGAGGAAAAAAAAAACCACACCTTACTGATGTGTTAGGGTACTTTTGACTCAGTGAACAGGAGTCAGGAAGAAGGAGAAGTGTCATGCGAGGTGTGTTGGATGGGGGCATGCTGTTGCTGAGGCCAGTGGAGGCTGTTGTTAGGGTAAGGGTGCTCACTCTCCAGGCACTTTCCTCCCCTTCAGGCTTTCCCTGCTGCTCACATGTGTTCACTGGGTGCTGCACACATTGTAAGCTTGTTCTGGTGAGACCCTGGTTTCTTAAGCCATCTGAGTGCTCTAGAATATCTACCCTCTTTCTTACAGCCTCTCTTGTAGTTTAATTGTAGAACCAATGGAGAATTGGCTGCAACTGATGCTGAATTGGGATCCACAGCAGAGGGGTGGAGGTTTAGATCCTGAGACCAGTAGTCCCAAGTGTTTCCTAATAATGGATCACATTCTGAATTTGAAGGTGAGTGAGGGTTATTACTGGGTTTAAAGGCCAACTGAAAGTATCTCACAGGGAAAGTGTCTCACAGGACAGAAAGTGTGGTCAGTGGAGAAGAACTGTAATCTTGGCATAATCCAGCTGCAGGATCACAAGGAATGTTTTTCCTGGGATCAGGAAGTGAGTGTATTTACAGCCTGTCCAGTACATACCAGAATGCAAAATATCACCAGCAATATTAATCTCCAGCTCTGCACTTGAAGTAGAATTCTCTGCCTTACTACCTGCCATCTCAGAAAGGACTTACCAAGATCTAGTACTGGTTTAGTATTTGCTAATAACTGTTTTCCTGAACTCCAGTACTGATGCTGTGACCTCCATGTCCATGTATCAGTAGTAGTATCTGTAGTAGAATCACGCCCCTGGCTGCAGTCCTGAGCAGTGTGCTCTGGGTGATCCTGCTTTAGCAGGGCAGTTGGACCAGATGATCCCGATAGGTCCTTTCCAACTCTGACAATTCCAAGATTCTGCGAGTGGTTTGGGTTGGAAGGGACCTTCAAAGATCATCTAGTCCAGAATAGAATTTACACTCACCTGACTCTTCCCCTTCAAGTGATTATTAACCAGGTGAAGCAAGCATGTGTAGAAGCCAGAGGAGAATTTTGTCTGATCTGGAAGGATTCCAAAGGAATTAAAGTCTGAAACATAAAATATTGTGCCCATAACTGGGACTTGTCAAAATCTGCATATCATGATGGGATTTGGGTCCTACAGTCTCAGCCTAGATGTAGTAAAACTAGAGAGAGAGCCAGGAGAGCAATGAGAAGACAAGCACTGGTAGTTAATAGGGATTAAAGGAAATGGGGCTTCCTTTCCTGGGAGAAGTGCTGACCAGCATCAGAGCCAGCAAGGCTCAAGGTGGCCTTCTTGCTATCTTGTCACCATCCTTTTGATGTCATTAAGCTGCAGTATGGCTTGTGAAGGCTGTTAAGTGTGTTTGATTGTCTTTTTCTCTGACATGAAGTTAAAAGTTACAGGTCCTGACTTGGAGTTTTATTAATGTGGGACTTTACTCGTGAACTTGGTTGTTGTAGTCATTAAAACTCAAAAGATGCTCTCAGCCTACTGTGCTAGTTGTTACAAACTCCCTCCCTAGGTGCTCTTTGTGTTTGGTAGCCAGTGACTTGTAATAAACTTGTCCTCTTTTTACAGATAGTTCACATACTAAATATGACTTCTGCCAAGATTGTTTCATTTCTCCTGCATCCCGAGGAAAGCCTTCATTCCCTTCAGATTCGGATTGAGTTTGAAACTGGAATAAGTACTGGGAATCAGGAACTGCTTCTGGAAACAGGGATTTGTCTGGATCCTCGGAAACCTGCTTCCCAGTGTGTTATTGATGGCGTTGTAAGAAGGATTCTGTTCATTTAATGCCTTTTCACATTCTCAGGGAATTTAAACATCTTGGGGAAGATAAATGGCATTAATCTCCCACTGGGCACAGTGGGACTCTGGTAATTCCTAAGGTCTAGCATTACCTTTATGAGGTAATGTAAGCAGATTCCTACAGTTATTACTCTGTCTAAACATCTAAATCAAGTAACTTGTTAGCAAACGGTCCCGTGTTCCTGTGGGATCTGTCAAAATCAGGTTTTGAAGGCACCTGATAAGAAGAGTGTCTGCCCACAGTCATGAGTTCATGATGTAACCAGGGCTGAGTTAGCAGGAGCTGTGTTTGGGATTTGTTTTGCTTATATTCTTCTCTTCTTCTCTCTTCTTCTCTCACCAGAGAGGCTGGGATAGCTACATGGTCTATTTGTTTGATAAAAGCAAAACTGTCTATGATGGACCCTTTTCTTCTCGGAGTCTGTCGGACTGTGTCAATTACATTGGTAAGTAGGCTGAGGGGCAGCTCAGCACTGAAAGCAGTGCTGCTCACCTTGTGTGACAGTAGGTTTGCCTCACAGATTTCTGTGTATTACCTTGAAGGGCATTCTCAGTTTCAAAGAGGCTCATATAAGAACCTGGAGGAGCCTAACAAAGTTGTCTCCACGTTTTGTAGATGTAATGGGTCAGAGAATTTCATGCCTGCCCTTTGGGAGCTTTCCTGTAGAGCAGCTTCAGAATTCATGTAAGGCTTTTGCCCTGGTGTTTAAATTCTGTGCACTGAACACTTAAACATAAGTCTTGCCCCACTTAAACAGTATGGTGGGGTGAGGGAAGGCTGGGGAGGCAAAGTGTGTAACCTCATCTTGTAGCCCAGAGAGGTGAACTTTTAGTCTGCATCTGCACACTACATCCTGGGAAGAAGATTCTGACTTGGGGGCTGTGATTAGATTTGCAATGCCTTCTGCTCTGCTTAGGGGTCCCTTCACACCCACCAAGTGTTGCAATGACATTGTGCCAGGAGATGTTTGCACAAATTGAGAGGAAGCCTACACAGATATCCTCTGGTGGTACCAAGGGACAGGGACCTTCTTATCTTAGGACTCAGTATCTGAAGAAGTTGTGCATATAACCCCTCTTCTCCTTCTCCCTGTGCACAGGTACAAGCAGGTTGCAGGTCCTTGTAGTCCCGTCTCTTGAGATTGGGTGGTTTGGTTGTCCATGAGCAGTTGTCCTACAGCTCTCCTAGATTTATGCTTCTGAATATCAGCATCTTGAGGATACCAGTTACCCTTTTGGCCTCTACTGTCTGCGGTAGTTGCATTTTACAGAGTGGTCAGATTTGGAAGGGATCTCTGAAGGTGGCCTAGTCCAACCCCAACAATGATCCATCTCTCCTCTCTCACCTGAAAGAACAGGTCCCTCCATCTATGCTGCTGATCGTTCAGGCCCTGTGTGAGGAAGTCCACCTTGCTCTGGTCATGAAGCCAAGCCAGCGCTTTTGGCCATGTTGCACCAGTTGCAGAACTGGTTTTGCTCCCCTGTCAAGGTTATGAGTTAGGGTTGGTCTTCTGAGATAAAGGTGTAAAACCGGCACTCTTGTATGGTCTTTGCCACAGGTTTTAGCTCTAGTGATAAAGTGACCATAACTCTATAGCACTGATCCTACTTCTGGTCTCACCAAGTGTCTGAGAAAGTCCAGGCCTCTCCTTCCTCTTGAACTGCTACGAGTAGAGCCTGTCGCTGCAGGGATACTTGTGGGATCTTCTCCAATGGTTTCTCTTAGTTCTGGTGCTATTGCTGGCCCTGGCATCATCAGTGTATCACAGTATCACTCTGGTTGGAAAAGACCTTCAACATCATCAAGTCCAACCACTACCCTAACTTTGTTGCATCCACCACTAAACCCTGTCCCCTGGCACCACATCTGTCTTCTTAGATGTCTCCAGGGATGGCGCCTCATCCACCTCCTCAGACAGCCTGGATCACTGAGTCCATCTCCCACCCCAGAACAGAACAAGCCCAAAGTTCACACCATGTCCCTGAGGGTGTTGTCCAAGTGTTTCTTGAATATTGTCAGGCTTGGTGCCATTAATGCTTCCCTGGGGAGCCTGTACTTTTAGACCATCCATGAAAGCTACTTCTCTGCTTACAGCTTCCCTAATATTTCTCCTGTAATGACAGCAGTCATCTGCAGGACCTAAACTAGCTCTGAAGGTTTACAGATACCAAATGTATCTGTATGAAGGACCTTGTATACCCCTATGAAAGAAAACATGGTCTAAAGTGACAGGAGACACCTGCATGTAATGGAGATGCCTCGTGACACAGACTTACTGTGAGATAGCTTTATTTTCTTTGACTTGGCTCTGGAGAAGTTGGGTTGGTTTTCCTGTCTCCTTTTACTGTCTGTGTTCTGGGCTATATTATTCTGGCCAGATGTCATTGTGTGGCATCATTGTGCTGAGTCTCTTGGAGCTGAGGCTTTTTGCAAGGTGTTTATTTACATCCCAACCTACCAACAGTTGCCTGTCTCTGAAGGGAACACACATAAGTCTTGGATCTTTTCCCCTTAAACATCTACATCAGAAATCTGTGAGGAAATGTACAAAAGGTTTGAAGACGTTTTCATACTAAACACACATCAATACAGTGACCAGTATCACTTGCTACCTTGAGCAAGTGCTTTAAGTAGAGTTTTTGGAGAAAGCCACCCATGGGTCCTGCCTTGTGCCATGATTCATGCCGTGTGCCCCATATCTCTTGGGGCCAATAGAATTATTACAGAATTATTAAGAGTGTAGAATGGTTTGGATTGGGAGGGACATTAAAGATCCTCTAGTTCCAACCACCTGCATGGGCAGGGACACTTCCCACTAGACTAGGTTGCTCCAAGCGCCATCCAGCCTGGCCTTGAACAGTTCCAGGGATGGGGCAGCCACAGCTTCCCTGGGCAACCTGTTATAGTGTCTCACCACCTTCACAGCAAAGAGTTTCCTCCTAATGTCTAACCTAAATCTCTCCTCTTCCAGTTTCAAACCCTTTCCCCTAGTTCTGTCACTCCCTACCCTTGTCCAAAGTCCCTCCCCAGCTTTCTTGTAGCCCGTGGAAGCTGCTCTGAGGTCTCCCCAGAGCTTTCTCTTCTCAAGGCTGAACACCCCCAACTGAGGACTTTGGCCCAGAGTGCTCAAAGAAGTTACTGCCCTCATGGCTGTGAGTTCAACACAAGCTGTTGCTCAGCCAGTAGCAGGCAGTCAAACACCTGGGGAGCCATCACGTGAAAAGCTTATACACACGTAGGCAGCATCACATACAAACTGAGCAGATCTTACATGGCTTGGTTCCTTAGTTTAGACACCTGAAGAAGGAATTGGGAATATTGGCAAGTACTGAAGTCCTATTCTAGAGTTGTCCTTTCATTTGTGTACAACCGTGGTTTTCTTGTATTCAGTGCAGGACAGTAAAATCCAACTTCCAGTTCCTCAGCTGCGTAAGGTGTGGGCAGAAGCAGTTCACTACGTGATTGGGCTGAAAGAAGATTACAGCAGGCTTTTTCAGGGCCAGAGAGCTGCCATGTAAGTTGTTCCTCATTATTCAGAAGGTTCAGTAGTAGGCAAATACAGAAAGTGTTTGCATGGAAATCTGCAACTGGGGGAGTTTTGGTAACCCAAAGTTTTACAGCTCTCCATTGTTCTGAACTTCTATGTTATAAAATATATTTAGGCTGGGAGGTTATTCTGCTCCAGGAGGTTTACTGCCTAGTGCCTGACATTGATAAAAAGTGAAAAAACCTGAACCTCAAATATAGTCACAGGTCAGCAGGGACCTCTGAAGGTCCAACCTCCTGCTCCAGCAGAGTCACCTGTCCAGGTGACTTAAGTATCTCCAAAGATGAGGACTCCACAACCTCTGTGGGCAAGCTGTGCCAGTGCTGAGTCACCCTCACAGTAAAAAAAGGTTTTCCTGATGTTCAGGGAAAACCTGTGTTTCAGTTTTTTGCCCATTGCCTCTGGTCCTGTCCCTGGGCACTGGAAAGGGCTGCCTTCCCTGGAGGTCACCATCCCTGGAGGTATTCAAGAAACTTGTAATTGTGGCATTTCAGGGCATGGTCTAGTGGGCATAGGGGGTTTTTTGTGGGTTGTGTTGTTGATTTTATGGGGCGAGTCGTTGTGGTGTGGTTGTATTTGTTTGGTTTGGGGCTTTTTTGTTGCTTATTTGGGTGGGTTGTGTTGTTTCCCCCGCCCCCAGGCTTGGATGGATGGCTGGACTACATGACCTTAGAGGTCTTTTCCAACTTTAATGACTCAGTGATCTCAAGTGATATAAAAGATGCCAGCATTTCCCAGGGGCAACATTCACTGCAGGACCCTGTAGATGCTAAGAAACACTTCACATTGCTAAGAGTGTTTAACTGAGCTGGACAAAAACTTGGAATCACAGAATCACAGAATGTCAGGGGGTGGAAAAGACCTCCAAATATCATCAAGTCCAACCCCCCTGCCAGAGCAGGACCAAAACTAGGGCACATCACTCAGAAAGGCATCCAGACAGGTCTTGAAAGTCTCCAGAGAAGGAGACTCCACAGCCTCTCTGGGCAGCCTCATGTTGTGGTGGAACTTCCTGTGCTGGAGTTTGAATCCATTGCCTGTCGTCCTATCACAGGGCACAAGTGACAAGAGGTTGTCCCTGCCTTCTTGACCCCCAGTCCTCATGTATTTATAGACGTTACTTAGGTGCTCCCTCAGTCTTCTCCTCTCTAGACTGAACAGCCCTAGGTCTCTTAGCCTTTCCTCATAAGGCAGTTTCAGTCCATCATCCTTGTAGCCTCCCTTGGACTCTCCCAAGTAGATCCCTGTCCCATGGGAAAATGGGGAAGGATTTTCTCATTTCATTGCAGCTGGTGAGATGGAGTCCGTGACCCCAGTGAAATTCCCAAGTTCCAAGGATCTTGCAAAATGTTTTCCTAGCTATGTCCTTCAGGCAGTGTAGCAGCACTGGCCACCTGAGCCGAGCTCTGCTTTTCAGCTAATGCCTCCTGTTCTTGGTTCATTGGGCAGGCTCAGTCTGCTTCGGTATAATGCCAACCTAATCAAGATGAAGAACAACATGGTGTCAGCATCCCAGCAACTGAAAGCAAAGCTGGAATTCTTCCATCAAAGCATTCGCCTCGACCTGGAGAAATACAGTGACCAGATGGCTTATGGCATATGTATGTATTGTGGGATACTTGCTGGGAGTCTTGGCTGATCCCAGTAAGAAAGGACTGTGGTTAAGAGCTAGCTTGAAAGAAAATGAGTTGTGTTCCTCAGCATCTTTATGGGGGTGTTTTAGCTGGCAGAAGAGTTTGGCAGGAGGAGAAAAAATGAAGTATTTTTGGAGACCTTCAGTGCCAGTGAAACAAGTGGTCAGCTCTTGTACCCTGAGAACACCAGGCTAGGAAAATTAACAGTACTTGTGATGTAAATAAACACGATCACCCCCTGTAGCACTACAGGCTGGAGTAGGAGTGGCTGGAGAGTGGCCCAGCAAAGAGGGACCTGGGAGCACTGGTTGACAACCGGTTTAACATGAGGCAACAGTGTGCCCAGGTGGCCTGGAAGGCCAATGGCATCCTGGCTTGTATCAGGAATAGTGTGGCCAGCAGGAGTAAGGATGTGATTCTCCCCCTGTGCTCAGCACTGGTGAGGCCTCAGCTTGAGTCCTGTGTCCAGTTCTGGGCCCCTCATTTCAAGAAGGATATTGAGGTGCTGGAGCAGCTCCAAAAGAGAACAAGACTGGTGAAGGGACTAGAGGGAAAGTCTTCTGAGGAGAGGCTGAGGGAGCTAGGGTTATTTAGCCTGGAGGAGTCTTAGAGGGGACATCACTCTCTACAACTACCTGAAAGGAGGTTGTAGTCAGATGAGGTCTGGGCTCTTCTCCCAGGCAAGTAGTGACAGAACAAGAGAGCCTGGCCTGAAGCTGCACCAGGGGAGGTTTAGGTTGGACATCAGAAAACAACTTCCTCATGGAAAGGGTGATCAGACATTGGGATGGGCTGCCCAGGGAAGTGGTGGAGGCACCGTCCTTGGAGGGGCTCAAGGAAAGGCTGGAGGTGGCACTTAGTGCCATGGTCTGGAGATGTGGGGGTGTTAGATCATAGGCTGGACTTGATGATCTTAAAGATCTTTTCCAGCCTCAATAATTCTGTGATTTATTCATTCAGAGTCTGATTCCTTTGGAGTTGTCACTGGGCATAAAGTGAAGGGCAGACATGGAAGGGTGACTAACCCCCTGTGGCTGAAGAAACGGGCACAGTGATTGTAGAAATGTTTTGAGCTGTGCTGAGTGGTCTTGCTGTGCTTGAGATCAGGAGGTAGCATGAGTCAGGATGGCAGATAAGGTGATGAGATGGCTGCTCATGGCCTGGATGAGCAAATGATCTGTTGGATCAAGCGCTGGCTGGACGGTCAGGTCCAAAGAGTCAATGGGTCAATGGAGTCCAGTCCAGCTGGGGCTGGTCACAAGTGGTGTTTCTCAGGGCTCAGTGTTGGGACCGTTTCTGTTTAACATCTTTGTTGATGATCTTGATAAGAACATAGAGTGTATCATCAGTGAGTTTGCAGATGACACCAAGCTAGGCAGGAGTGTTGATCTGCATGAGGACAGGGAGGCTCTATAGAGAGACCTGGATAGATTGGATAATTGGGCTAATGTTAATGGTCTTGGCTTCAACAAGGTCAAGTATTGGGTCCTGCACTTGGGCCACAGCAATCCCAGGCAACGCTCCAGGCTTGGGGAAGTGTGGCTGGAAAGTGTCTGGCAGGAAAGGACCTGCGGGATCTAATTGACAAGCAGCTGAACATGAGCCAGCAGTGTACCCAGATGGCCAAGAAAACCAATGGCATCCTGGTTTGTCTTAGAAATAGTGTGATCAGCAGAAGTAGGGAAGTGATTGTCGCCCTGTACTCAGCACTGGTGAGGCCACACCTGAGTATTGTATCCAGTTCTGGGTACCTCAATTCAAGAATGATCTCGAGGTGCTGGAGCGAGTACAGATGAGGGCAACAAAGCTGGTGAAGGGCCTAGAAAATAAATCTTAAGAAGAACACTTGAAGGAGCTGGGAATGTTTAGTTTGAGGAAAAGGAGGCTGAGGGGAGATCTCATCAGTCTCTACAACTACCTGGAATGACATTGTAGAGAGGTTGGTGCTGGTCTCTTCTCACAGGTAATTAGTGATAGAACAAGGGGGAAGGAATAAAAGCTACAACAGGGTAGGTTCAGACTGGACATTAGGAAAAAAATTTTCACAGAAAGAGTGGTTGGACACTGGAATAGGCTGCCCAGGGAGAGGGGGTGGAGTCACCATCCCTGGATGTGTTTAAGGGTTGTTTGGACGTGGTATTGGTGAATATGGTTTAGGGGAGAACTTTGTAGAGTAGGGATGATGACTTGGTGATCCCAAGGGTCTTTTCCAATCTGAATGGTTCTATGAAAAATCACCAGCTGCAGCTTTAATATCACAGAAACATCTGGAGCTTACAAATATTTTTCAGAGGAGAATAGTAATATGTATGCTTAGTTTGGATATATGGCTAAAAACTGAAACTTGAGTAAAAAATTATGATTAGGCTGAATGATAATGATGGAAAATGGAGAGTCTTGGTGAACTGGTTTTGGACTGGTTTAATCAAAAGTGGGAGTTCTTGAGCTTAATGGTGGAGGGTAAAGACTCCAACTCCTTTTATGCTGGTGATTGCAAACAGTGAGATCCTACCAAAGGGTTATGTGAGTGAAGGTCGAGCATGTTGCTCGACATTTTGCTGTCTCTGGAATCTCTTCCTGCTTGGTCTTGGTGTGCAGATCCAACTGATGTATATAAAATTCAGGTCATGCTTTATTTTTGTGTCTGTATCTTTTTAAAAATTAAAAACTCTCTTCTGTGAAGCTTCAGAAAAGATGCTCAAAGCCTGGAAGGAGATGGAAGAGAAGGCCTCTCAATGTGCACAGGTAAGGGATAGTAAAGAAGCTTCATGATCTCTTTGTGAAAGAGATAGTGACAGGAAATTGGAACGTCCTGTGTGGCACTGCTCTGTCCCTCCATTGTGTTTCGCGCTGTGGGAATAAGACTATCACTATGGATACATTAAAAAAGAAACAGCCCCCATCCTCAGGTTTGAATCTAGTGATTTGAACAAAACCAACACAAGTGTCACCAGACTTGGTTGTCTAGATAGGAAAGTAAACTGTAGAGACACATCATTTATTGCCCAAAAGAAACAGTGTTGCTGTAGACAAAAATCTTCCTGGTTGGATTTATTGCACACAAAAATTTCCATTGCTGAAGGTGGAACTAATACTAATCACTTGCTGTGCAGAGATTTCAAAATTGTAGTACTTTGTTTAGGAGAACCGACAGAAATTTCTGGTGTTCTACAAGTCAATATGCAAAATAATTTTTAATAAGAGTCATCCTGATGAAATTTAGAGGGGAAGTAGAGCCAATTCTTATTCTGAGTCATGAAAACAGATGTTTTCACTGGTGGTTTATGGACAGTTGGGCTGAAGGCTACTTCAAAATTACCTACTGCTTAGAATTCTGATCTGTCTTCTGGGAAAGAGCATTTTCATTTTACCTCCACTGAAGAACAAGGAGGAGGCAGAGGCCTTTTTGATAGAGAATATTTCTGCCTACAGTTCTCTCCAGGGAAGGAATAAGCTTTTTAGCTGTGAAAACTAGGAACAGTGTTAGGATTGTTGTAGTTTATTGTCAAAAGCAGTTTATCCTTCTCTTCTACTGGACCTACTGAATAAAGTTTAGGAGGGGGGAGGCATTCAGAGCAGAGCATTGGGAAAGAATACAAGGAAAAATCAGGACATTTGTAGCTTATTATCAGAGTAGAGGTCTTTAAAGTATCTCAAATGTCCCCTGGTTTTGTGTTCTGTGACAGTAGCTTGTGTGCAGGACTGCCAAGAACATGGCTTGTTCTGCTGGCCAGGGCTGTGGGCTGATGTATTTCTCCTCTACCCTGCAGGGAGGTTTGTTTTGGCTCTTATACACAGCACACTGATGAATACCTACACATCCCAGACACCACTAGAAACACAACAATAAATTACCTTGCCTATTTTTTGCCCCTATGAAGAAACAGACTGGGCAGTTAAGGTTCTGGGATCCATTAGGTATCTTCATCAAAGTCAGAAGGTTCTTGGAGCCTTGACTCTGCTTTGTCCTGTGATGGAGAGAAGGGAATTGGGATTGCCACCTGAATTCACCTCTCTTCAGCTCTTTATATTTTGGGATCTTGTTGCTCCCTGTTAGGATGTAAGAAACATACAAGGGAGGCTGCTTCCAGCAGAATAACGCAAAGCTGCCACTGGCTGTTTCTGAAACACCAAGAACCTCAATAACTATTTACTTGGCGGACCCTAAGGATTATGTTCTGGCTGTGCAGTCCACATGTGTGGTCACACCATGTCCGTTTGTCAGGAATGGAAGGTGTTTTGCTTAACTGCTGTGATTTGAAGAATCACCGTCATGCTGCGTGGGGACTCATGGTGCTTCAGATTAAAATGTTTATTTTGATAACAGGGTTTACTTCACATTTTTCTCACAATCTGCTTCTCTTTTGATTGTGTTGCTTCTCACTTCTTGTTCGTTTATTCTTTACCTGCAAGACATCCCTTTCTGATCAAGGTCATTTAAATGGCCTCATACCAAGTACTTCTGCAGCTTCAGCAGGGGAAAATATTTGCTTTTCAGGCCATACAGCCTCAGGTCAGAAAGGAAAAGCTGAAAAATCTCAAAATATTTTCATGTATCTACTCTTCACGCTCAGAGATTATTGTTGTTGGCTGCCTCACCTGACTTACTGTGAGCACTTGTGTGTGTGTGTGCAGCCTACATCCCAAAGAGGCAGTATTTATAAAGAAACTGCTTGTTCTCATCCAGTGTGGTCGTCAGAGATTTGAATCTAGGTGGTATCATGCACTGAGAAGGTAGTAACAGTAACCTCAATTATTGTAGCAGCAATAAAGTCAGAGTTTTTTTCTCCCAAACTCTGTACGGAGTCAGTCCATTATCCAAACAATTTTGCTGAGGATCTTTAGCTACTTTATTGCTCACCTCCTTGGGTTTGCTTTGTACCTACATTGGACCATTAGGCTGAAGATATTGGATATCTGGATGAGCAGATCATGGCTCTGCACACAGAGATCGTGGAGCTTCAGAAAAGTCCATACGCAAGGCGCCAAGGAGAGGTCATGGAGAGCTTGTAAGTTCTTTGCTTATTATCTTTATTGCACATAAATGGAATCTTAGAAGAGGGTGGGCCTGAGATACATCTTAGTCTCAACTGCAAAATGCAGAGGATTTCTTTTTGCCTTGGAGAAGAGTAAATTTTATGGGGTCAAATGAGGAAGATTATGAGTTCGTTGTAAAATCCTGTTAAATATCTTCCATGTGTTTTCAAAGTAAAGTTAGTTAACACCTCATGGATACTTGAATATTTGGAAACTTGAATATTTATCTTTTTTAAAAGTATTTAAGAAAGAGCTAAATGCTATTACTGATCTTAAAAAGACGTAGGAAGTAGTTATTGTAGTTTGGGCTGTTGCTGAGTACAAGTGGCAATTATAAAAGAGAAGGATCAGAGTGGCTGTTGAATCTTGGTGGTTAAACCTGTTCTTAATTAGAGCTTTTCTGAGTGACTGATTGTTCAGGCCCATTGATGGCATGTTCTTCCTTTCCCTCTTTGAAGGGCTGGATCAGCTATGTTGCTTTTCATCCAGGTGCAGTTGCAGGAGCAGCAGAACTGGTGCAGAAGGGAGGAAGTGGTGGGAACTATCAGTTCTTGCAGTGATAGCCCACATTCAGAGCAGCTTAAAATCATCATGAACCTGCCTCCTGCAACCTCTTTTTTCGGCACTTTCACCACGGCAAACCCAAGTCTGCAGCACCTAATTTTTGAAATGTGCTTAAAGTGTGTCCGAAGCTGCTGCTGATTCTTATTGAAAGCTACTCCTCAGAGTGAGGGGTGAAGTGCAGAATAGTTGGAGTTTCCTGCTCTGTAGTTTTTGGGGCTGTAGCAAAGCCTAGTGCAGAGTACAGCTGAAAGTTTGAGGTGCACAACCAGCAGACACACATGGGTCCTGGTGACATCTCAGATTTCCCTGCCAGTGCTGGATGCTGATGTTTTCTTTTCCCTAGTGCAGCAGGAACAGAGCTCCCCTCTCTCCCTATCTTGGGTTGATGCAGGAGTTTCAAGATGATAAATTGTCCAGCACGCTGAAAATACTGGCTTAGCTAAGGAGAAGCAGCTTGCAGGATTTCTTGAAACAGTGTTGGGATGATCTGAGGGGAAGAGGAGGTCTGGTGAGGGCTCAAAAGCAGAGTTAGAACTGGCTAAACTGCTTGTTTGGCAGACTGTTGATTTAAAGCATTGAAGATTTATTTGTTCAAAGATGGAAGTTTTCAGTGTTGGTCTGCTTTGGAAATATTTGAAAGAAGTAACATTTATTTCATGGGAAGAAGAGAAACACTTTCCTCTTGTTTGTGATGCAGCTGTCTCTCTGTTCTCAGTATCACTGTAAAATTCAGGTAGAAAATGCAGAACAGGAACAAGAATTTCTCAATTGTGCAGAAGCAGCTCTTCTAGTTACAGAAATGAAGTTTCATAACTAAGGATAACATGGAAAGAAAACATAGCTGAGACACTTGCAAATTTGAAGCTGAAAATAGCCTCTAATTGGGATAGTTATCTCAGAAGAAAATACACAATCAGAGGAAGAGTTTTGAGGAAAGAGTTGGTTTCCATCACAGGAAGACCATCCTTGTGTTCCAAATGTCGTACCTGGTGTAGCAGCTGTAGAAGAAGGTGGTATCTCCAATGCCTGAGGTTCAGGAAGACTTAACTGCACTGCTTTTGTTCCTCAGTCATCTGCTGGTTGATAAATATATGAACAATTTTCTTCTTTTTAAAGGGAGCAGAGAGCCATAGACCTGTACAAGCAGTTGAAAACAAGACCTCCAGGTATGGAAGGAAATGTTTCACAGACTTTCCCACTCATACTGAATGACTCATTTTTCTGAACTCAACCCCACAAAATACTTTTTAGTAGGAGAAGGCAGATGATTTTATTAGAGTTAACCAGATCCAAGGGTATGCCTT